GTAAAGAACTTCAAGAGCAGAAGACAGTTGCACATCAGAAACTCATTGAAGATACGAATCTAGGAGCCCAGCCAAGGGTCCATTTGTCACTTTGCACTGAAAAGGCTGAAAGGTCAGAAGGAGGAAGAGCCATATCCCTTCCTCCCTTCTGTGACCCCTCCCCATAAAAAGACCAGTGACCCATTTCAAAGATCAAACTATGCATGCTTAATTGCTTTTTTCCTAAGTGGCATAGGAAGCAAAAAGTGGGTGGTAACTGGGTTATGAATATGTATTTGTATTCAGTACTTCTGTAAATAAAAAGCCTGTATTCACCTGTATTTGGGGCCTTGTGTATTAAGGGGTGACCTGACACATCGACCCAGCACTGCTAATAAACATAAACTTTTTAACCTTAAACCAGTTAAAGAGTCTTTGTCTGTCTCAGTTGGATATTGATACTAGATAATATCCATATGTTAGAAAATCAATCTTAAAATGCATCCAAAAATTGCATGTGGAAAAAGGAAAAGAACTTGTGGGTTTGAGAAGATGAGGATGGATTTTGTTAATGGCACATTGGAAACAGCACCAACAGAAGGAACAAGTGTTTTTGGAATGCTCCCACATGAAAGTCCAGAAGAAGGTTTTAGTCTTGAGCTCAGGTTTGTTTCTGCAAGTGAAATAACAACAACAACAACAATAATAATAATGAATATATAACACAATAATATATATAAGGATCCATAACTAAAAATTAATAATGTTAAATAATGCTGACAATACCAATTTCTTAGCTTTGGCTGCTCACTGTAACACTAAAAATACTACAAAAAAGGACTGGCCAAGACCCAAATGTCAGTGGTAAACTTTGTGAATTGTATACATGGAATAAAGGGGGAAGGGATGAAATTGCCTGTTTTTATAGGGATTGGTGATGCTGTGATGTGAAATGCTTTGTCTGTTCCTGTGAAAAACACAGTGATTAAGACTGCTTGGTTTTTCATGTACCAGACTATCCACAAGCTGCAGGATTGGTTGCACAGGTGAAGGGGCTGTTAAAAAAGAAGTTGAAAAAATGAGGAGAGATAGGAACTTGTCCTGGTGGAGACCCCATCTCCCAGATGTGCTCCATGCCCTTAACAATGGGCCCACTGGGAAATGGAAACCCCTGGGTGTGCATGGCTGCACCCAATTTGCAAACACAGCCGTGGGCAGTGAGACTTGGACTGCCTGGGAAATTGTTCTGGCTGTGATGGCCCCTGCCAGGGCCACCCCAGAGGCTGCAGGGCTGGACCTTCATGCACTGGAATTCATTAGGAGAAATCAGAAGCAAATGAGAGTTAACAATACTGAAACAGGAATTCACATTCCTCTTGGACACTTTGGTTTGGTAACTGCTCACTGGAGCTTGGCCTTGCGGAGGGTTCATGTCATGGGAAGAGGAATTGATGCAGATCATCAAGGAGAAATTAAAATAATTCTGTAAAAAAAATGAACAAGATTGGATTATTCAACCCCATGACAGGGTAGCACAAATATTGATATTACAGTTTAAAAATGATTGTGGAAAAAGGTCATCCACCTCCAGTCAGCACTGACTGTAGAGATAAAATGTTTGGATGCACCAGTCCTAATAATTGGGCCAGAATGTGTGTCCAGAGGTCCAAATGGCCCTCCTGAGCCAGCTGAAGGAACAGCTCTGGGCAAAGACATCACGGTTTGAATCCTGAGACCTGGGCAGGAACAATGGGGATATGTCCCTGCAGCCAAGTGTTCTTTGCCAGAACAAGTCCATGGGATGGGATATTGTTTTACAGATGCTGCCAGACCAAATCTCCCTGTTTGCCCCAACGGCCCCTTGGGGAAATACGCTGATCCACGGGGCTCCATGTGAAGGCTGATGTGACACTGAGGGACTTCCACACCAATTCCAGCCAGGAGCCTGGGTGCCCCTCAGGGACTGGGACCTGGCTCCTCTCCAGCCGAAGGGAAAAGGACCCCAGCAAGCCTTGTTAGCCACAGACAGAGCTGACAAGAGCCTGCGAGTCTCTTCCAGCCATGCCTGCTCAGAGTTTGGCCTTGGAGCTCCAGGTGGACAAAGGCAGCTGCTCTGGCCCCTCTGCGTGTGCCCGTGTTCAGCACTGCTGCTCCATCAGTCTGTGCCCAGCAACGGGGAAAAGCCTCAGCCCTGCAGGGCGGGGAGCTGCCGGGCTCTGCCTGAGCAGCTCAGCCAGCGCGAAGGGAGCTGCTCCACACGGGAACCAGGAGCAAAGGGCATGCCTTTTCCAGGACATGTTTTCTGTAGAAAAACAAACAAACAAACAAACAAGCAAACAAACAAACAAACACAAAAAAATATGAAAGATAAAAATAACTCGCAAATGTGTAGTGAAAAATCTTCTATAACTCTGGAGTAAGAAAGAAGTAACTGATCCTTTCAAAAAGAGAACTCAGCTTTGATTTTAGTTCCTTAGTTTGTACATGTGCTAGTGGAAAGGATCCATTAGCTGCCTTCCTTTACAGATTTGATGGATGTTTTCCAATGTTAAGATATTTTACACTGCAGTTAAAGGAATAGGAAATACATGTTCTTCATGACTGTGTCTTGAGTGTCAAAATTTTGCAGTTTGAAACTTGGACCTAAAGCGTTGCAAATGGAAATGATAAATCCCAATGGACTGAGTGAATGCAGCTTTTCCTATGTGATGTGCAGCACTCCAAGGACTTCCTCAGTGGGGCTGTGGGTGCTTGGAGCTTTGTCCTGTGCCACTCCAGGATGTCATGAAATGGGACTTCACCTGCCACCAGCCCAGGTCACGCTCTGCCACCAGCCCAGCTCCTTGGACCTTGTGTCCCCAAAGAAGACACAAGGTGTTTCTGCTGCTCCACCTTTGCACAGATCCACAGAGAGCTGGGATTATCCCAAGTCTTGTGTCTCCATTGTGCCATATTCCTAAAGAACCAGCAGCCCATCCTGACGAATATGGTGAGTTATGTGGATGGTTGTCAGCTCCCTTTACTGCCTAGAAATCCTGAAACTGTTTCTAAATGCTGTTCCCTTCAGTTCTTGGACACCTACCCACACAGAGCTGGGGAAAAAAATCCCCTGGCCATGGCTTACAAGGTGAGTTATGCCAAAGTTAGAGCTCTGTGGGAAATCTCTATCCATCCCTATCCTTTTAATATATCTATACATGGGGGTGTGCATGGATGTGTCTTGTATGGAAAGGAAGGAGTGTGCAAACAACGTGACTGACACTTTCACCCTCTGTGTTCATTCCATACTCATGGGTACAAAGATATTATGGAAACCTTTGTAAGGACAGACCTTCTGTCCATGGATACAGAGACATCCAAGAGACCTTTGTAAGGACAGACCTTCTGTCCATGGATACAGAGACATCCAAGAGCCCCTGGCACTGACAGACCCTTCTGTCCATGAATTCAGAGACATCCAAGGGCCCCTGTCACTGACAGACATTGCTGCTCTTCAGCCAGTGACAGGATGATTCCTGAGCCTGGGGCTTGGCCTTCCTCGTGGTGAGGGGCATCAAGGAAGGCTGCAGTGTGATGGAGATTGTGATGGGCTGGGAAATCACTGGGGGAAAGGAGGGAGCAGTTGTGTAGTAAAAGGCAGGTGGGGGAGAGAACTGTTCAGAGAAGGGCTGAGCTACAGCTTGAGAAAGCTGAAAAATGACATTTGGGGTCATTCCAGATTGATGTAATTTCAGAAGTTATGGAACAAGTTTAATTTTGGGGGGGGTGTCATGTTTTCCTTTGGAGGTGGACACTCTGCAGACTTGAGCTGCATTGCCAAAATGCTCAAGTCTCTGCTGGAGGTCACATCGTTTCTTCTTTGGCTGATCCCGGCCCGGTGCTGAGCCCAGCAGAGCCCTGGCAGAGCCCAGAGCAGCCTCAGCATCCGCAGAGCCCGGCTGCAAGGAGAGAAACCAGAAACCGCCCGTCAGCTCAAGGCTCCTGTCCCCTTGTCCCAGCCAGCCACGGTGCCCAGGCCATGCTGGCCGTGCTCAGCGCTGAGCCCAAAGCTGCCCATCACTGCTGCCTTTGGGAGCAGAGCAGGAGGGCAGGACACGTGCCCAGTCTGCAGCCAGCCACGGCAGATCCAGCCCCTCAGCAGCTGCCCAGAGCGGGATGCTCCTGTGCCCGCTGCCATCTCCCAAAAGCTCTTGTCCCACCCATGCCAAGGAGATGAGGACCCACCTCACACCATCTGCTGCCAGAAGAAAAGCTGGTCCCAAACGATGTCCTCAGCCTTCTCCAAGGGCACGGCCCATCCACACCACAGCTGGTCCCAAGCACTTCCCGATCCAGACTGGACCCCACCTAGAATTCTTCCTTTAGAAAAACAAACAACAAATTAATGAAAATAGGTTATAGACAAAAAGGGGAAAGAAGAAAAAAGGTAAAAAATCTTATGTCTGTCAGGAGTTTGAGGAAGGCACAACCCCTACATTCTAGGGAAAAACCCACCCACGGGTGAGGGAAGCCCATGCTTTCTCCCTTCCCCCCTGCACTGTCCCCCAAAATCACGATGATCCCAAAGCAAAGCAGGGGAGTGGAGCAGCCCAAGCCCTTCCTTGCCTGCACAGCAAAGCAGCCGTGCTCAGGTTCTGGAGTCCCACCTGTGCTCCTGCCATGGGGGTTTGTTTGTGTTGGGCTGGCTGCCCCAGCCCCAGCCTGGGGCACGGAGGGTGCTGGGGGCTGTTGGCAGGACCAGGAGCCCACTCCCATTTCGTAACCACCCCAGCCCACACCCCCAGCCCTGCCAAAAACCAGCTGGGCAGCCACTGAAGAATCAGTTGCATCCACCCCAGCAAAGGGGAAACCTTTGGTTCCCAGCCAATGCACAAATCTGGGAGCATCCCCCTGGGTCTGGACTTACTTGAAAATTCTCTGTGGAGCCTGGCTTTCAAGAAGGTGCCAGAATCAAAGTCCATCATCGCCAGCTGCCGCTGGCCAGGTGGAGGAAGAGGTTGTCATCCTTGCTGTTGTCCTTCATGTCCCCAGCAGCAGCAGCAGCCCCACCTGGTGCAGCTTCTCCAGGGGCTCCTTCTTCCCTGGGGTGACACCAGGCTGTCAGGGTTCTGCCCAGGGCCCGGCTGTCACTGAACCAGGACAAGCAAAACCAGCTCAGATGGCGGCCACCAGTGCTGGGCAGAGCAGCTCAGCTCCAGCACAAGGGCTGCGTGTTCTCACTCGATGAGCCCTGTGCAGTGACACAGGCAGGACAAAGAAGTCTGGGTTTCTTTGCTTCTGATTGCCAGGGTATGTGTGGAGCTGTAACTTACCAGGTCCCTGCATCACTGTGCCCGTGGCTCTCTCCCTTCTTCTATGGCTGATGAATATCCTGCATCCAGGGATCACAGAACAGGTCTTCTAATGAGGGCCTGTCCAAGTAGTGCAGGGATAAACACCGCCTGATCAGAACTTGGCAATCTGGGGAGAGAAACCACAAACCACTGGTCAGTTGGAGAAGGCTCCTGTCTGCTTTGCCTCACTATACCCGTGCCCAGGCCACGCTGGATGTGCCCAGAGCTGGGCCTAAACTTTCCCATCAATTCTCTGTTTTGGAGGAGAGCAGGAGAGCAGGACATGTGCCACCTCCTCAGCAGCTGCCAGAGCGGGATGCTCACGAGCCCGCTGCTGTCTCCCAACACTGGTGTTCCCCCCGTGCCCAGAGATGAGAATCCACCTTGGGAGAGCCGTTGTGGCAGCGGGAGCTGGGCCCAGCTGATGTTCCTGCCCCTCCTGAAAGGGTGCTTCCCGCAGACCATCTCATGCAGCAGGATGCCCAGGGTCCAGACGGTTGCTGCCTCGCCATAGTACCACCTGAAGTTGGTCCATTCCGGGGGTCTGTATGATCGTGTTCCTATGGAATACGGATGGAGCTCATCAGGGGGATGCTGCTGCTCCCAGAGCCTGAGCCCAGCATCCCTGGGCATGTGGGGCTGCCCCAGTGGCACACGGGGTGACCTGCTGCCCTCTTGCCAGCACCTGGCACTTGTGTACAAACCCAGGGTTGGAAAAGAAGGCACTGGTGCTGGAAGAGGGCAGCAGAAACCCTGGCAAGGCCCGACCATGGCACACAAAGGAAAA